TGGAAAGGCAGGCACTCAGCAACTGGGACTGGGTTTAGCACACATCTTTTACAAAGGTCTACTGGGCCTCATATGCTCCAGACAGGCCTTATAAGGACACTTTAAAGCTTCTGCAGAGGATCCCTCCACTCAAGCAGGAACTTCTTCCCAAAGTGACCACTGCAAACAGCGACCACCAGTAGCCGGTATTTGTAGGTCTTGAAAGTGCCTACTGTGAGTGTGTGGAGCCTAAAGACCTGATCCATCAGCAGCTGAGCTCATGGGTGCCTGAAGGGCAAGTCTGCTCCCAGCTGTGGGACTCCTTCCTTTCTCATTGTGTCAGAGCTTTTGTAAGGTAGGCAGCACTGACTGCTGTTAATTAATGCCATCTCCTCCTCATAGTACTACTGCTCAAGTGGAAATTCTTGGGTTGAGCAGTCTTGAGCTACTTCTGCTAAGATCAAAGAAAGTGCACAGGGAGGCATGGGAACAAGGCTAATAGAGCCTGTGATCCCCTTTGCCTGGTTGACCAGCCCTGCAGGAAGCTGACATGCTCAGCCATAGCACCTGGCTTGTGCCCAGCCATCATCTCTGGTGTGTGTCTCACCTTCTCCTGTACCAGCGCACAGAGCTGCCCCACCAAGGCATTCCTTTTGAGGCTGGGAAACATGTTGCAGTTAGCCAAAAACAAATGCTTAATATTTGAAACACTGCAAACTTCAATAATTCTTGAATGTAAGTGTCCAGTTCTGCTTTGGCCTTTGCAACTGACGGGTGTTCATTCTATAGACATCTGTTCCTGTTGAGTTGGTGTTTTTTATTTGTTTTGTTACTATTCAACACGGGATTTCTTTTATAATGATAGGTGTGGTAAATAATTGTAAAACTATTCAGGCATCAACATTCCTTAAAAGTTAGCACCCTGAAGCAACACCTCCATACCCTATAATTAGCTTCTTAACAGCACAGTCTTGTGCACTTTTACACATGGTTGGTTGGGGAATGCTGGGTTTTTATTCTGTTTAAATGTGCATAAGCTGTGTTCTAAATGTGCTATTACGTCATAATACTGCATACTTCACTTGCCTGGCAGGAAGAGAACCTTCAGTTTCTAAATGAGTAAATGCATGATGTTTTCTTTGCATTCATAAATTGCTGCCCATCAAAGGGTTAAAACAGTGTGAAGTACAGAATAACATTCAGAATGTTAAGAAAAAAAATAAAAAGTAATTTTATTTTAAACTGGTACCTCTCAAATGTTTTCCTTCCCTGTCACATGAAATGAAATAAAGGCATCTATCTCTCCTCAAAAGTTGAGCATCTGGGCAGATGTTGCTGACAATCAATGATTTTCTGTTCATGAGTACTGATTTTCATGAAGTTCTTTAAGTGGAGCTGCGGTGTGCCTTGAAGAGGGACAGACTTTGTTTTTTAAATTACACTATATGTGTTACCAGCCAACAGCCATCTTGTGAATAGCCACTGTTAAAATAATTACCCCTTTCTGTAGTTTCTGCCTTTCCCTCTCATCTCACTGTTTAAAATCTCCCCTGCCCCCCAGCCCTGAGTGTATATATATACACTAGAATCTCAGCATAAATCTTTAGGCTTCCCACAAAGTCATCTACAAATTGGTTAGTCCTTAAATTGCTATGAGACTCCGGAAAAGAAAGGGGATTCTTTATACTTTATACCACGTTGAGATCACAATTTGTCACATTATGGTTCAGTGCACTTTGTTGTTGTTGTTGTTGTTGGGGTTTTTTTTTCCACCCTCGAGATGTGATGAATCAGTCCCCAGGCTGAAGCGGTCAGTGGAAAGCAAAGTGAAGCATGTCTTGTTTCTCGGCTGCTGCCAAAGAGCAAATTAATATATTTTTCAGTTGTGGAATCACACCCGTATGCAATTCCCTTTCCAGGAGTATCCATGCACTGTATATGTGAGAGTGCATTATATTTCCCCCCTTTCATCATTATTTGAGATACACAGATGGGAGTCTTGTCATGGGAAAGCAATTCACTTAGCGGGCTAGTATGGCCAGAGGGACAGCTATTACAGACATAAATTTTAATCCCAACAGAGGTCATAGCATTGAAATGGAAGACTAGTTCTAACCCCAATTGAGGCCTGGTGCCCATGACAAGTTGTTCCCATTTTAATGTTAAATAAATTAGGGGAAATGTTAACTATCTGTAGTTCTACATGGGAGCCAATATAGTGTAGTGGTTAGAGTGTTGGAGTGGAACACAGGAAGCCTGTGTTCTAGTGCCTGCTTGGCCAGGAAGCTCCCTGGGTAACTTTGGGCCAGTCACTGACTCTCAGCCTAACCTACCTTTCAGGGTTGTTGTGAGGATAAAATGGAGAGGAGGATTATATAAACCAGCTTAAGTTCTTTGCAGGAAAAAGGCAGGATAGAAACAAAACAAAACAGTGGCATAATCCCAAGTATTGATTGATTCAGGACAGATAAAGGGAAATACTTATTCGCACAGTGCATAGACACACTATGGAATTCACTTCCACAAAATGTTGTGATAGCCACCAGTTTGGACAGCTTTAAAAGGGAATTGGACAAATTCCGGTAGGATAACAGCTACTAGACCAAGATCAGAAGTGGTATGCTTCTCTATACCAGGTACTAGGAAACAAGGGCAGGAGGGTACCACCGCACTCATGTCTTGTTTATGAGCAGTGGAGACTTTCCCACAGGCAGTCAGTTGGTCATTGTGTGAACAGAATGCTGGTCTAGATGGACCCTTGGTCTGATCCAGCATGACTCTTCTTGTGTTCTCCACATTTTTGTCTTACAACAACCCTTAGATTGTTGGCACCATTTTGCATTCCTTTTGCAGATGGCTGAAACTGAGAGAATGCCTTGCTGAAGGCTGCCTAGTCAGCTAATGGAAGAGAAGAGCTTGGGCTGTAATTGTAAACATGCTTACTAGTCTAGTAGGGAACAAGTCCCTGTTGAACTCCAGATTTTTAAGGAGGTATGTTTAGGACTGCACTATCTTGTTATCATAGAACCCCATGCATAGCTACTTGCGAGCTTGTGTTTGGTGGAGATAATTTCAGGTAAGTGTGCATAGGATTGCATCCGTAGACACAACTACAGAGGAAAGATTTCCTCACTTGAGTAGGTAGTATATGAATAAAAGGTAAAGGTAAAGGTTTCCCCTTGACGTTAAGTCCAGTCATGCCTGACTCTAGGGGGCGGTGCTCATCTCCGTTTCCTAGCCGAGGGAGCCAGCGTTTGTCCACAGACAGTCTCCGTGGTCATGTGGCCGGCATGACTGAACACCAAAGTGCACGGAACGCTGTTTCCTGCCCACCGAAGTGGTACCTACTTATTTGCTTTTCGGCATCAGGCCAAGACCTTTTTATTTAAACGTCATTTTAATGGTTAATATTATTTATTGATTTTATATCTATGGCCAGGACGTCTCCAATTATATTGTTTTATATGGTTAATTGTGTATTTATTTATTGTTGTGAGCCGCCCCGAGACTTTGGCGAATGGGGCGGCATAGAAGCTTGCTAAATAAAATAAATAAATAAATGCTTGCATTTGCATGCTTTGGAATTGCAAGGTTGGCAGGAGCTGGGACAGAGCAAGGGGAACTCACTCCATTGTGCAGATTCAAACCAGCAACCTTTCGATCAACCAACCCAGCAGCACAGAGGTTTAAACCACTGCACCACCTGCAGTCTCTAATATATGAATATACATACCTAAATAATGAATACTTGAACATATGTTATTTGTGAGCTACCCTCAGAAGAAGATTGGAAGGTAAAATGCATGTTTGAAAATAATAAAATGCGTAACAAGATCGCCACTTGTAAATAGTCTGTGCTGTTGTATGGTCCTGCTGACCCTGCCTTTTGTCAGTGTAGGCAGCTGTGCTGAGTGGTGGAGACCGATAGCCTTGCCTTCTCTACGGACTTTATTCCCTTTGAAAGCTAAATGGGTGATTATCACCACATCTGGTGATGGGAAGTTCTTCCAGGCTTTAACTCCACACTGTGTAAAGAAGTACTTCCTTTTCTTTGTCTCGAATCGGCCACTGCTCAGCTTCATTGTTTGATCTTGAGTTGTAGTACTGTGAGAGGGTTTTCCCAGATGGGCAAGCTCCCAGGACAGGCCAGAACGTTATCCGTGCAGCAGAGGCCGGAAGCTGGAAGCAAATCAGGGCTTCGTTTTGGAGTTCAGAGTAGTGTCGGCTGCTGTGCGCGCTATAAGCAAGCCTGCTGCTTTCAAGAGAATGCTGTGCATTCACCATCGTCGACATAAGATCCAACGGACATATGATTCACTTCTGCACTTGGGCAGGGAAGATTCTTGTCCTTAGACAGAAAAACAGCTTGGGCTGACCCAGCTTTCCACAATGGCTGCCCAGTTTTTGTAATTAGCACAACTCTTTTAAAGTAGCCAATACAAGCAGCAGCAGAATATTTGTGTGTGGCGGGTGGAGGGGGGAACTTAGAGTCTGTTCTTGCGGGACTTTTCCACACTCATTTTCAAGCCTGTTGCACCAGCCTGGCCCCGACCCGTGTGTGCGCGCGTGCTGGGAGGAGCGCCGAGGTGTTTCTGTCCGGCGACTTGGTGATTGGCAACAATGGCGCGTCGCCCTGAGGCTGCGAAGGACAGGACACGAGGCGGTCACCGCCAAGGAATGGGGCTTGGCCTGGCTTGCCAGGCGCGGGCCGCCGCTGCCAGCGGCTGGGCTGGCGTTCACGTTGCGTCGCCGCAGGACTGGGCCGCGGCTCCCTGGAGCTTTCCGGGCTGGGGAAGGGCTGCTCCACCCTGGAATGCGAGGGCGGCTGCGGCTGCCTCCGGCGAGCGGCGACGGGAGGGGCCGCGCCTGGCCCGCGTGCCAGCCAATGGCAGCTCCGGGGCGCGGAGGCCTCGAGAGCCGCTTTATTGACGGAAGGGACGGAGCTCAAGTAGCCTCTTCGGGCTGGAGCAGGAGCCGCCGCCGCACTCGGAGCTCAGCGCGCCCGCCGCAGGCCACTTGCAGGCGAGGACGCGCCGCTTTGGCAGCTGCCAATGTGGGGCGGCGGAGGGGTGCCCAGCCGCCAGCTCGGGGCTCGCTCGCTCGGCGTGGGAGCGACGAAGCAGCGCGGAGGAAGCAGCTCGGGGAAGGGGGCAGCGGCGGTGCTTTCCAGCCCGCGCTGCTTTCTGGCGCTTGGCTTGATATAAGGCGACGTCCTCCCTGCTTTTGCGGGGTGGGGAGCAGAAAACTTTCTGACTTGTACGCGGAAGGGGGTGGATCGCTCTGCGTTCGCAGCCATTGCAGCCGCCCTTGCCCGCCCCTGAGTCCCCGCGCTTTAATGTTTGTAAACAATGAATGCCAGAAAGGACTCGCGCATCTGTGTGGAGGTGATCAAAGGTGAGAAAAAGACGGGGGTTTCAAATTGGTGATCCTAACAGGAGGGGCTCAGGGCAGAAACCTGCTTTCGGGCTGCATGCTTATGTTCCTGATCGCGAATTTTGGTCCATTAGGACATAATTCTGATGCAAGTTCAGACGGGAGGGGAAAAAAAACATACAAACCGGCGTATCCTAACTAGCTTGACCAGCCAGTGCTTGCAGGACTTAATTTTTGTCGAGGCACGCGTAGGATTGTGCCTTTAAAGAAACATCGCGGTGTGTTTCTCAAGTAGAAGTTTCCCGCAAGAGTGTAAAACACGAGAGTGGCCAGACAACTGGGTTGTTTTGTTAGTTTGCGTTTTGCGCTGGTTCTATACCCTGATTGTATTTTGGTAGCTGGTTGGTAAGGATAAAATGAAAAACTTCAACTGGTCGTGCCGTCAGGTGGATTCCCTGTTTCCTGCAAATGTAAGGGAAAGGGACTCTGAAAGGGACTCTGGCTGAAGAATGGCCATTGCGTTTGCTTTTCTTTTTCTTTTTTGACTGAACTTGATCTGTAAGGCATTTAAATGTCTAGATTAAATAGAAATGTTTTGTCAGTGCAGGTGGTGGGTTGCGTAACGACGGTTGCCAGAGGTTGAATGTGTGTTTGCAGATCGTATTTGCAAAATACAGAAATGCACACCCACACATACAAATGCAAACGAACCGACTGGTAGTTGCAAGTGCTCCACTAGAGATAAATCAGGGCCTGTTTTGGCTTCCAATAACTAGGTGAATTCGATTGAGTGGAGTAGTATGTCCATATTCTGTGTTTGCAATACATAACTAAAGGCTGTGATTCTTCTAAGTAAACATGCTTATGACTGTTATATATTGCTGTGGCCTGCACATGCTTACTTGGAAGTAGGACTTAAGCGGGGTGGTAGGCTAGTCAGTTTAGATATATGACAAAGGAATCTTGTACCCTATAAACTGGCATATTGTTAGAAACTATTAATTTGGAAACATATAGACTGTTTTGATGACACCGTTCAAGGAAATCAAAGGCTGCTTTCCTTTGCAAAGATAACTTAAAAAAAAAAAACCTTTCTACTTCTGACTCTCCTGCCAGTTTACATCTCAGATGACCGCCATTGAATTAAAGATGGGCAGTGATTATGTCTACAAAGCCACGTGTTTAACCTATATTGTGTCCCAGACAGGCTTCTAACTGTGCAACAAAACTTTCCTTCCCCCTCTTACATAATATTTCATAATTGATAAAATTGATATCAATTCAGTTTCTTAGATGCTTTCTCAAAAAAGACTCATGACAACTTAAATGATAGACAGCAAAAGCAGTTTTATGTTAAAATTCTTTTACGAAATGTCTGAGGCAATCATAAAATATTCAACTGATGCATTAAACAGCTGATTATAAACCATTTACTATTTCTGTTTATGTAACTGCATAATTTAAACATGAGAATAGGGTTGCAGGGCCATGCTCCTGGCCCCATCCATACCATTGATCAGGCAGAACTGCTGGGTGTAGCCCCAATGGTTACAGGTTGGGCCTTGTGAGGTTACAAGACACATCTGCAAGGAAAGCCCTACTTGTCTGAATCTCTACATTAGGCTTTTGCTTCATTCTAGAACTTCCAGGAAGAGTTCCAGAATGCCAGGAAAGCCTACATGCATCTAGGTATATGGAAAAAAGGTGAAATACAGTGAGGTTTTTCCACTGATAGAAGTCTTTCCATCAGCAGAACAAAAAAGCCACCCCCAAGCCTACATATTTGCAGGGGGGGGGCAGAATTGGGACATTTTCCAAAACAGATTTTGAAGAAGACATTTCCACTGCCTATGTACAGTACCAAGCATGTGACTAACGGGAACTCCTAGTACTGCTAAAGGGCTAGAAGCATGTCCCTCTTTACAGCTCAGTCCAGCAAGATTCCCCTGATGAATCCAGGAAGTTGCATGTTATCTTGTTACATGTTAACTAGCCAAAGAACTTTGATTGTAAGGTGGTATAAAAATGAAATAAGCCAATAAATGTTTGTCTTGTCTTTCTTACACTGTTTATCTTGGCCTTCTTATGTTGTGGTCTAGCATCAGAAAGAACACAAGAAAAGCCATGCTAGATCAGAGCAAAGGTCCATAAATACAGGCTAGCTAAATACAGTAGCCAGTTGCCCACAGAAGAATCACTTTGTGAGGTTGGCTATACTATGGTTCTCATGCCCTAACCAAACACTTCAACCATACAAATTAATTATTAACTAGAAACTGTTATCTGCTGCAGAAATTTTAAATTGATTTATTGAACTCAGATAAAATCATAAGATCAGCATGTTCTCTACAGTTATCTTTGTTGTAAGTATTAGCTTGATATTTTGTTTGTTTTTATATTTCAGATCGTCTCTATTTTGCCATTCTCTTTCACAAACCAAAGAGCAGTAGTTCAAGCACACACTATTTCTGCATAGATGATGAATTTGTATATGAGAAGTAAGTATATTATTCCCTTGCTGCCAACACAATAACAGGTGCAACAGTGTGGATGAGGATGTAATGGGAATCTTTGTGTTGAGATGGGATATTTGTCTAGCACTGATGGGAAAATAATAAACGTACTTAAGAAGAGCCCTGGTGGATTTGATCCAGTATCCTGTCTTCCATAGTGATCCACCAGATGGCTGGGCAAACCTCACAAGGAGGACATAAAGTAACACACTTCTGCTTATGTTGTCCAACAACTGGCAATGGGAAGATACTGTCTCTGGTACTAGAGGTTATAAATAGCCACTGAGAGCCATATCTTCCACGAATTTGATTCTTTTTGAAAAATGAACTTGTGGCATTCACTACAACTTGTGAAGCGGACTTTTTCCACTATACCATGTGTGAAGAGGTATTTCCTTTATGTGGAATCTCCCACCATTTGGCTTCATTGTTTGAGCTTGAGCTCTCATATTATACAAGGGGGTTTACCCACACTGAAAAGCATGCAGGACAGGCTAGGCCTTTACCCTTGTATTTGGCTAGTCAGTAACTATAAGACCTAGCAGCATAATTCTTTGATCTTTCTCTCAGAAGCATCTAGAATCCATTTCGTTTGTAACAACTGGATAGACTGTTAACAGCTAAACCTAAAATGGAAAAGAGGGGAGAACAAAATTTAAAACGTTAAAGAGGGGAAAATGGGAAAATAAAAGAAACATGTCCAATATTGAGCAGTATCTAATGCTGCCTCTGTTACTCTCCTGGTTAGGTTGCACGACTGGGACTGAATACCCCAGCTCAATAGGAGATGCAAGAGCAACCCCAGAATGTGCCAAAACATGCATTTCCAGAATGGGGCAGATGAGCAGAATTCCCAGTAGGGAGCTCAGCTGACCTACTCTGGACTCATTTCCAGTTGCTTTAGGAGCTGTTAACGTTCTGTCTAACTAGCAAGCAGGTCCTTCTGGTGTCCGTACATTGTTGGATACTGTCTCTTGTTTTCTAGATTCTTCATTTTATTCCCAAGAATTTTGTCTTATTTCATTTTGTATTTGAAGGTCTTCTGTATTACAGTTTTGTTTTGTCTTTTAAAAGAATAATAGTGGCAGTTTTATAGGCAGTATGGACCACTGATTTAAGACAGAGCAGCTTGGTTAGGTCAGAGCAAAGATCTGTCATCCTTTTTCCTACAATATTCAGCCTATCTGTCTACAAACAGAAGTCTCAGAAATGCAGCAGGCGGTAATCTGAGAAAGAGTTCTTTTAGTGATGGGTCTTTTCCTCTGTAATGCCCTCCTCTAAGGTACCAAGCAAAACATTTCCTCTCCCATGCTTTAAGAATGGTTATCTTATTGCATGTTCTTAAGCTTTTAAACAGTTTGTGACATTCATTGTCTTGTCTCTGTAGGTGAGATTTAAATGTTTCAAATTTGTATCTTGTTATTTTAATTGTTGTAATTAAAGAAATGTTGCTTTGAATTTTGTTAGCTTCCCTGGAAATATAGTTAAGTTGAAGGTGCAGGATATAATCTGTTCTAATAAAAAAAGGTCTTACTGTGTGGTTTGTCCCTAATCTATTATACAGAGGTATATTTCCTTGAATATAAGAGATATCTATTAGCTGACAAGGCTAATAGCAATTGAATGACCTTCCTGTCATTTAGTAATTTAGTACATTGGAGCCGAAAGCCTGTGACTGTCAGATGCTGCAGAGCTATAACTCCCATTAACCCTAGTTTGCCTGGGATGATGGGAGTTGTCATCTGATGAGAACATCTGGGGGGGCCAGACATTCCAGACACTCCATACTACATTGAATTTCTCACTCAGAAAGCTATTGACCAATAGAAAAAGATTCTGCCTCTTAAATCTTGTGAAAAAAGAGAGCTTCCTGTGTATACCTTATATCTTGTTCCTAAGATGCAACAGCATCTTGGAACAGTACAGTTGAAGACCTGTTTTGAACACAGAGAGCATGCAGATTGATTTTTAGTGGTCTAGCATTTCAATAGACAAATTTCACAAACTCCGCTCAAATAACAAACAAGTGTCCCCTCTTCCTGCTTGCTTCCACATCTTGGAAGGATTCAGATGGAAGACACCAGGGTGTGTTTGTCCAGGCAAGCATGGGGCAGCAGGGCAGGGCAAGGAGCTGCCTGTCAGCAGTGCTCAAGGTCAGGCTTGCCGCTGCTGGCAGGTGATGTGCAAGGTCTTTGCCTGGATACGCACAGTTCCTGGTTCTGTGAAGTGCAGTTGCCAAGGAACTGTGCTCTGTACACACTGTACCTGGCTTAGATCGCGGGGCGGGGCGGGGCGGGGGAGGTCAAGAGAGGAGAAGGGAGGGGATTTGGGCTGCAGCAGCTTTTCTCAACCTGGTGCTGACCAGATGTTACAGACGTCAGCCACCACCAGCCCTAGCTGACATCAGCAATAGTCAAGGATGCGGGAGGTGTAGTATAAATACGCAGAAGGCATCAGTTGGGGGAGGTAGACTTTAGCGCATTTTCCTAAGAAGAAATCCTCCTTTTGGAGGAGCAGTCTTCCAAAAGTACATAAAAGGAGCAGAATATTTTGTAGTCATTGGGTGGAGCTTGTATGGCACATATCATTAGGTGGCACTTTGATATCCACAATGGTCAACTGCTGGAAAATTATACTGTCTTATCCCACTCTTGAAGAATTGCTTTCATGAACAGCCAAAACGTGGCGATGCTAGTTTGCATTTATCTTTCGAGAGCTGAGGTATATGGCTGTGTTAAAGCCAAAGTTGCAAGGTGAAGGTGATACAAGTTGTGTTGCATTAGAAAAAGTTGCTTGGGATTTTGGACTTAAGCTCGAAGTCCAGCAGAATCTGATTTATGTGAGCAGCAGTGATGTGGGTTTTTCAGAAAATTTTCAGTTGAACCATTTTTCAGTGTAAGTGAAGTTAATTTGCATAAGTGATTCACATTGGCAAATTTTCAGTTTGAATTAGGAAATGTTCTGACATGAAGAGATCTAATTCAGCATATTTTTGGCTGGTATTTAGTCAACAAAGCATTTAAAAAGTTAATCTTTTTCCCTAATATATCACAAGCATTTGGCATGTGATTTAAATTTTATGTAGACTTTTTTCTTGGAATACCTGTATTTTTTTTTTAAATAGCATATATTTCCCTTACATTGTTTAAATAAAAAAGACAAAAGTACTGAGAACAGTCGACACACTAATTGATTCTACCAACTGATAAATTGATGCTGATAACCACGCATCCATTTTAATAGCAATTTACTCAATATGCCAGCAAATTTGGAAAACTCAACAATGGACACAGGATTGGAAAAGGTCAGTTTACATTCCGATTCCAAAGAAGGGCAATGCCAAAGAAAGTTCAAACTACCGCACCATTGCACTCATTTCACATGCTAGCAAAGTTATGCTCAAAATCCTACAAGCTAGGCTCCAGTAGTATGTTGACTGAGAACTACCATATGTACAGGCAGAATTTCAGAGAGGCAGAGGAACTGGAGATCAAATTGCCAATATACACTGGATCATGGAGAAAGCTAGGGAGTTCCAGAAAAACATCTACTTCTGCTTCATTGACTATGCTAAAGCCTTTGATTGTGTGGAGTACAACAAATTGTGGCAAGTTCTTAAAGAGATGGGAGTACCAGACCATCTTATTTGTCTCTTGAGAAACCTGTATGCGGGTCAAGAAGCAACAGTGAGAACTGGACACGGAACCACTGATTGGTTCAAAATTGAGAAAGGAGTTCGGCAAGGCTGTCGCCCTGCCTATTTAACTTATATGCAGAGCACATCATGAGAAAGGCAGGGCTAGATGAATCACCAGTTGGAATTAAGATTGCTGGGACAAATAACAACCTCAGATATGCAGATGATACCACTCTAATGGCAGAAAAGTGAAGAGGAACGAAAGAGCCTCTTGATGCGGGTGAAGGAAGAGAGTACAAAAGTTGGCTTGAAACTCAACATTAAGAAAACTAAGATCATGGCATCTGGTCCTCTCACTTCCTGGCAAATGGATGGGGAAGAAATGGAGGTAGTGACAGATTTTATTTTGCTGGGCTCCAAGATCACTGCAGACGGGGACTGCAGCCAAGAAATTAAAAGATGCTCCTGGGGGGGAAAGCTGTGGCAAATCTAGACAGCATACTAAAAAGCAGAGACATCACCCAGCCAACAAAAGTGCGTATAGTCAAGGCTATGGTTTTCCCAGTTGCAATGTATGGCTGTGAAAGCTGGAGCATGAGGAAGGCTGGAAGGATTGAAGCCTTTGAATTGTGGTGCTGGAGGAGACTCCTGTCAGTCCCTTGGACCGCAAGACGATCAAACTGGTCAGTCCTAGAGAAGATCAACCCTGACTGCACTTTAGAAGGCCAGATACTGAAGATGAAACTCAACTACTTTGGCCACCTAATGAGAAGGAAGGACTCCCTGGAGAAGAGCCTAATGCTGGGAACAATAGATGGCAAAAGGGACGGCAGAGGATGAGGTGGCTGGATGGAGTCACTGAAGCAGTTGGTGTGAGCTTAAGTGGACTCTGGGGGATGGTGGAGGACAGGAAGGCCTGGAGGAATGTTGTCCATGGGGTCGTGGTGGGTCGGGCACGACTTCGTGACTAAACAACAACAACAACCAAGGCTGTTGGGGATTTTCAGTTTTGTTGTCACTATAAGTTCCATTTTACTCTAAAATATACATATGTATTTCAGTTAAATATATTCATATGCTAAGGTTAATAACCTGAAATACATTTATTAGAACTTAGAAAATGTCTATTTGCAATTTGCATGCATACATTTTTACTAATGAGTTTATGAGAGAAGGATTTCTGCTGAAAAAAGGCATTTATTTATTTATTTATTTATTTATGGAAAATTGGAGAACTATGCATACAGGAGAAGCTGCCTAGACATTTTCCCCAAACCTTTTGGAGTGCGAAAGACCAGCTGATAGTCATCTTTAAAAGTTGGTGGTGGTTTTGGCTGTGGCTGTTGGAACTTAACAGAAAACCCCACCCATGTATGCAAAAACCTTGTTCGGATGTTGACTTGACTTTTTCTCAGCCAACCTGAAAGTGAAATAGTAGTAATCTTTTGAAATAGCAGTCTTGGGTTGTTGCCCCTGAGTTACACTGCTTTAGCAAGAATGTATATGAACCATCTTCACACACTACTTGCATGAAGGGGTATCATCTGATGGCAGGGAAGTGGGGCTGTGATGCTGGCCCCACTCTTGGCTGGGCTGTTTTTGTATGAGTGACTGTTCTGGCAATACCTAGGTGTTCAAAGGAGGCAGAAACACATACAGTGATTCAACAGGCAGCACTGTTGTGAGGTTGCCTTTGACGGTAAGGGTACTCCAGCTGTGCCTTTGTGTGATTATAAGGAACGAGTGCTGCTGCCCTTGCAGCCAGTGTTGAACTGGGAAGGAGTTAACCAGCTGTAGCTGAGGTTGGTGGGAGGGTACAAATCGTGCAGAGATGAATACAGTTATTCTCTCTCTGGGTTGGTACATTAGGCTTACAGGAGCCCTTTACTGCCCAGTCTATTTACTACTTATTATCTACCACTCAGTGATATCTGAAATACTGAAAAGGGTTATTAGAGTCTTCCAGAGGGAGTTTACTTAAGCAGTACTTGCAAAATATTTTATTGTAGAATCCAAAACAAAAATTCAACAAACACTGACATTATAAGCTAAGAAACATGGCAAAGGTGTTTTATGATACCTCTTAAGCTGACATAATTGGTTTTTCATCCATAATTACTACTTATATCAACAGCTATTCTGAATGACATTTGAAGAAATAGTCTGCCAGCTAGAAAGCCTCATGATTATAATGAGGGCAGGGCTGGCTGGCGGTTGGATGTGTGGGAGAATGTGGTTCTTTGAATAACCATTCCAGTAGAAGTTTTACAATTTAAGCACACTTCTTTTTTCTCTCTCCCCACCCTCTTTTTTCTTTCCCTTCCAAGCTTCTATGCAGATTTTGGGCCACTCAATCTGGCAATGATTTACAGATACTGTTGCAAGCTAAATAAAAAATTAAAGGTAAATCATTTTTGTAAACCTTAACAGTTTGAGTATTCTGAATAATGTTCATTTATAAAATGTTGGTGAATGTTTTTCACTTGATGTATGTGTACGTGCACTATCTTATTGGGTTCTGCACACTTGAATATATGCACACACACACACAGAATGATATAAGTCTAGGTTGGTGCTCATGTTTATAGTTTGGTGACTGCAGGGTATGTTTCTCTATGTTTCCCAGAAGGGTGGGAAAGAATAATGTAGAACTTGCTGACTTGTATTTTAAAGTACAAATAACTTGGAATACATTCTGTGGTTAATGGTTAAAGGCAGAAGCCAGATGCACAAAGACCTGGTAAGTTCTTTCAGTGGTGAGCGGAAAGTTTCTCCAACAGGAGAAACTTACTGGGAAACACTTCTGGAGTGAAGAGCCTCCTCCCCAAAGAATTTCTTGTTACTGGTGCTTTAGGGCTCAGAAGTATATATTTCTTCTAGTATGTACTTAGGGTTTTTTTAAAAAGTTCTTGACAATGATTACTCAAGCTTCTGAAGATGTACATACTAGCTCTTCATAATAAGCATACCCTGTAAAGCGTAACATTGTAGGAAAAGTAGTCCCAGTATTCTTTAGCAAAATACTGTGGGGTGCTGCCTGGAACCCTACAAACGTGGAGAATCATGGTCTTTCAGTGGTGAGCGGAAGGGATGTAGAGGCGAAGAGTACTAGCGCTCTTGGCTGATTTTGACTGTGTAAATGTTTTACCTTTGTTCTCGAGGAGGAGGGACAAGGCATTGCCTAGGATTCTTCCTATGCCAGCAGAGTCTCACTTCCCCCTCGTTGCTCCCGAAATGCCTCCTTGCAGCACCAGCCCCAAAGTCACGCTTGGGACCTCATAGCCTTACTGAGAGAACTGCACTGGCTGTGAGGGTGGAGGGAGGGTAATCTGAATTTGGACCTACAGTTCTGACCTCACAGAACTTTTCTGAAGCTGGAACAGGGGCTCTGAATTTTCCTATGGCATCTAGGCAGTATCTGATAGCCATGGGATCAGCAAATACCCAGGGACTCGAGGTATGATATAAATTAGGAACTGTAAGTTTGTAATTTATTTTCCTTGTTCTTCTTTGTAACTGATCAGATGTAATGGCTGACAGGACTATGTGGTAACTTACCAGTTATTTTCAAGCATTTACAAAAGTAGTATCAGTAGCAGCATAAGACATGTGGGCAGATCCAGTCAAACTAGTTCCAAAGGCCTTCCATATGCCCCCACATTATTTAGTGCATTGATGTTTTATATTAAAGGGAATATAAAAGCTTATTAGGCAAATACTTGTGAAAGGATGGAAATTTCAGTGATACTTTCATTCACCCTTCAACATTGTATTGAAAAGTAAAAACTGAAATTTGTTAGTCAATATTTCCATAGTGAAGAGATGGAAAACTTTGCTTGCTATGCAATTCTAACGAATTGCAAGGTTGGAAATGTGATATGAAAAGTCCGTTGTGGCATGATCGTTAGATCTTTGTACTTAAATTACCCACTGAAATTCTTTTCTTGTAGAAATTACTTTTCAGTGGGAAAAGAAACAGTGTGCTTTATGCCAGCCTTCCCCAATTTACAGATGTTTTGGATTACAGTTCTAGCAACCCTCAGCTAGCAAACCAGTGACTAAATTGACTGATAGTGATCAGAGTTGTAATATACCCAATCTGAAAGGCACAAGATGGGAAAGGGCTAGCTTGGGAGCAAGAGATTTTGAAGGGGTAGTGTTTCAGAACAGCAAAGTGGAGAAAATGGCTCCTTGTGGAGTAACATCATGGTCACATAGGTGTTTTGTGCCTGATCCAAATTTAATATTGCAGACTTCAGAATGATCTCATTCAATTATAAGCTCACATTAGATATTAAAGCTAATTCGATTTATTTTTTCCTCTCAACTTGTGATCTCCGTACTATTCAAAATACAATAGTGTGAATAGCGTGGGTCACCCTTTCTTGAAGTAGGCATTGAAAATGGAGTGATGCCATGTTGTATTGTCTGTTTGGCAAATTGTTCTAAAGCACCCTGAGAGTTTTGGCTAATGGACAGTATAAAAATGAAATGAATAATACTAATAACGTTGTGTCATAAATGCTAAGGGATTAAATCCAGCATCATGATAACAGAAATTTGCTAGCGCAACATTTTCTCCCTCACTTCTACCTCCTTTTAGCCCTCTGCATAGCCCAGAAATCTGCTTTGGAGGGTTTCCCAGCTCCTTGAAGCAGATTTTGAGGAAGAGGACAGGAATCAACTCCTCCTGACTGCATCATTGGAACTGCTTCCATTACAAAATGACACTAGTTTAATTACAACCCTATGTTGTTACCAGATAAGGCTTTTTTTGTGGCTGTCTATGATGAGACTGTTATTGTTTCTTACTTAAATGCAAGCTTTTAAAATGTAAGGAGTCAAATTAAAACTCTGTTCATTTCTTGATACAGTCCTTTACGATGTTAAGGAAGAAGATTGTTCATTATTGTGGCTTTGATCAGAAAAAACAAGCCAATGCAGCCTTCCTCATAGGCTGTTACACAGTAAGTGTTTTATTACTTTGCTTTAAGCTGGCAAGGCCCACCAGCGTGTGACTATTTTTATTTTCAGTATGAGAGTCACATTTAGTGATCAGATGCCTTGCAATATATATGCTTTTGTCTTCAACATGAAAAGGAACACATTAATATGATAATGCTGCTCTGTGATTTTATTTATATGTTTATTTTCTTTTATTGGAGTTGTTTCTGTATAAACAATGTTCACAATTGCAAAGCTTAAATAAATCCATTCTGGGTTCAGTGGGAAATGGAATGAGTCCTGTTTGAGCAGTCAGTGGTAAATAAACATAATAATGGAGGAAAAGCTCTGCTTGTGAGGAAAACTGCATGCGGGGGGGGGGGGCTTTTGGTTCCTGTATTTATAAAGTTAATACTACAGATGGAAATGCAGCTGTTTTCTTTGGGTTATGATAATGGATTCCCCACCCCCCATTCCCTTCAACCAATCTTTTTTATAATGTAAACTGTTTCAGGGAATCCCAGGATGCCTTGGAGATATAGGAAATAATAAGCAAGAGATGAGCAACACTGAACAATCTTTCCTATAAGGGCATCTTGTTTATTATTCCCTATTTTGCCCAGCCTTAGCAAACCAGTGACAGTATCAGAAAAACTAGTGTGTTGGGGGTTGGGAAGAAGCAACAGAAACAGAAGGTGCAGAGCACATTTCTCAAATGGAGGGTGAGCTTTGTTCAGTATTACTCCTCTAAAAGCAGAAAAGTGATAGCTTCCATGTCAACATTTCCCTCCTAAACATAATTTTCTTTGAAGTAACTCCTACTGATTTTGGTGGTTTAAATAAGTATGCTTAAAATTCCAGTCTTATTTTTATTACCAGTTTATGAATGAAATATACTTCATATGTGAAAATTGCTTTTGTTTAAAGGCAATTTTAAGTGTCTGCAAGGGTCCAACAATGGAGAGAGAATGGGGCGGGCACAAGATATTTGTCTGGGAAGTACTAGCCTCTTGCGCCCTGCCTTTTTGGATGCTGGTTATGCAGGTGAGCTTCCATGAAGCATAAATAGCAGTGCTGCACAGGTTTCTTCTATCCCTTGCTCCACTTGTACCCCAGAATACCTTGCAGTGTGCAGAGGCACTTCAACAAGTGAATCCTGAAAGAAGTTTTCTAGTGAAGGTAGAGAGCTTGGAAACCATTTTCTAAGCAGTAATACTGCCCAATGGATTAGATAAACATTTATTACACAAAATAGGGTTTGTACTGGGGAATCGCCCAGTGTAAAATGTCTTTTTTAATTTGACGTTTGTGATGACCATTTTTTAGCAGATATGTCTGACTGCCTGGAAACAATCTTGTGGTGTTTTCTATAAGCTTTGGGTTACTACTTTGTTGCACAAAGCTCAAATTATTTTAAGGCTTTTTGAATTGTGACTTAACTTCTTCATATTTGATATCTTTTTACAGTATGCTTGCTTTTCTTTGCTCCCCCACCCTCATTATTATTATTATTATTATTATTATTATAACATTTCTATGCCGCCCCTTGCCGAAACCTCGGGGCGGCTTACAACATGATAAAATACATTGAAATACAATAGTACATAATAAATTACCATTAAATATAAAAATACAAAAAATACATTGATTTACAAATACAAAATTAAAATTATCAGTATAAAATAAAAATATAGGAGGAGAAAGAGAAGGAAGAAGAAGTTGCCCAGGCCAGATCATATGTTTTAACAATTGAAATGATGTTTAAATAAAAAGGTCTTTACCTGGCGCCGAAAAACCAGTAACGACGGTGCCAGGCGGACCTCTTTGGGGAGTGAATTCCATAGGTTGGGCGCCACCGCAGAGAAAGCCCTCCTCCGGGTACTTACTCTCCTAATTTCTTTCATGGAGGGTTCCCGGAGAAGGGACTCTCCCGCAGATCTCAAAGGGCGGTCGGGCATATACGGACGTAAGCGCTCGTTCAGGTAGCCAGGACCCAAGCCGTTTAGGGCTTTGTAAGCAGTTTTAAAAGTGAGATTATAGTGATTATACAGTGGCCAACAGGGGTCTTACAGCAGCAGGACCCATTGCTAATGCTAATGGGAAGCTAATGGATCCTGCAGCGATCTGAAGCAAGCGCAACTCTCCTTTTCATAACAGGGCAGGTTAGCAGAACCTGTAGAATAGAACTCCTCTGACTTGTCTCATCCTGGAAGTGTTTCAGCTTAAGCCAGCAATTGATATCTATGATGCAGCACAAACAGGACTTTTGCTCAGTTATCACATGTTGACGGGACATGGCTCCAACTTAGTTCTGCTCTCTGACAGCAGTACATGCGATCCGTGCTGGTGCATGACTCAGTTGTATCACCGTCCAGAGAGGCTACTGCTGGCAGCGCTGTGGGCACAACTGTGTGTTCCCATCCCTGGGCAGAGTTATATTTGCAGCTGCCACATTGCATTACAGTTTTCCTGTGGGATTTTTAATGTTGTTTAGAATTCCAGTTGTTAGTTGATTGAATTACCCAATTTGAGCAAGTTAAAAGGTTATATGGATTAAGTGGGGAACATATTTTAAAAAGTACTAATTTAATTTAAAATTAAAGTTTTTAAATTTAAAAACTTGAAAATGAAAGATGTCCTCTTGGAAGAGACTTTGCTCCTTCTCTTGTATATCTCTTCTAAAATAATTTTCAGAAGGATAACTATGCTAGTCTGTTGTAGCAAAAACAACACAGAGCTTTAATTTATATTTATTACAGTGAAGCATTCATGGACGCAGTCCATTTCATTGGAGTTATGAAGTATTATGTATCATATGTATATACATACGCTTGGGGGTGGGGGTGAGATAGAAGCTGTATTGTGACAGGGAGTGAAATACCGTAAGAACAGAAAGAGATAAGTAGAGTTGCCATTTACAAAATCTGCACTGGTGAGCAGATTAACACAGGGAGCACGTGTCTCTGTGTTTCTAAAAACATTTGCCCTTGTTTTAACCACAGCAAATAGAATTGACTCTCTCGGGTGGTATCCAATGCAGCATGAATGCTAACATAAAGTCCAGTGCAGTAGCCTAAGGGACTGTTATTAAAGAGCCAGTGATGGGTTTTCTGGAGAATCCTGTTGCATGAGCTATTGGCATTGGTATTTTCTTAGAGGTTCTTTATACTAGCACCATGTAATTTATGCTAATATTTGTGTCTCATTGGATAGCGTGCTTTATTTTTTTAAAAATTGTGCTGCATGTGTTATCAAATGATAGCATTTCATTATGGCAACTGTTTAAAAGTAATTGTTATTTTCTGTACTTCTTACATTTCAATTATTTCCCACCCCACTGTGTACAAGCATAGCTATTTAAATCTTCCAATTGGAAGTCAAGGCTGCACGTAGCTAATGAAAAGGAGAATGTTTCTAAAAGTCTGTGCTGTAGCAAATTGGTGCCCTGTGGTGTCATTCCACTAGTGGAAATGAAATTGTGCTAGCAAGTACCAAGTTCAGAAAAGTGAAGAAGGAGAGAATCCATCTAAAGATAAACTTATGCAATGGGAAAAGGCAGGGAAGCTCTGTATCCAATCATATATTGGATTTAGGCCCTCATCTTTAAGGTGTCACAAGACTTTTTCTTGTTTCTTCCAAGATGGCATCTGCTGTAATACAAAGATATGTCACCTAAAAGTAAAAAATCTTTAAAATGATAGTTTTATTCCCATGCAAATGTTACATATTTAATCAGTTAATAGTCAAGTGAAAACCTTTAATGCTTTTTCTTGCTTCCTTAAATAGCTTAAACCAGCAATTGCTTGTAGCTGCCAAAATTGATATTTAATATTACTGGGGTTTGTTTCTACCTAGCTACTAAGAATTAGCTCATCGTAGTTTTTCTGCTTTAAATGCACAGTTTGCCTGTATTACTTTTGAACTCTTGTGCTCTGTGACTTGCTCTGTAGTATCTAATTATATTTTTCCCTTTGTGTGGAATCTCTAAGCAGTGAGAATTATTTTCAAGGAGGAGTGGTGTTATGCTTTTTGGTAGTTAATGTGGAAATGTATTATATTACCCGGTGCTTAAGCACTGCTAGCTAAAAACTTGGGATGGCTGTAAAATTCTTGCATTCCTTGGTTGTCTCCACCTTTTGCTTTTAAACTAGATGTTTATAGAGAATGTTTTGAAAATTTTCAATGCAATTGTAGGAGATACTAAAAAAGAAGTGCTGTGCTACTTGCTATGGAAAGTAGTTTTTCTTTCATGCCAGGCTTTGTATAGCATATTTATGTACAGAGCTTTTGTCAGTTTTTAAAATTGTGAGTTTGACATGCTATTAGAAATTATCATGAAGGGTTACCATAGAGAAGTATAAAATTAATACTTGTCTCATGGTGTCACTAGAATTATAATGCTTTCAAGCACATTCTGCAATGGTTGGAGAGCTAACGTTAAAAAGATATTTTAATCGGTTATGTTGGGGTTTACATTAGCTTTCTGATATTTGGAAATTATTTCTGCTCCCCCTTTGCAAAGATTTCACATTTGGCACATGTCTTTATTAAAATATGAAACGCAGATGTCACATTATTACTGAGCAGTTTTTTATCTTGGGACACACCTAAATAGACAAGAGTGAACAGTTCTCACAGCATTATGAAAAACTGCTCATTATGAAGAACTATTCTCACAAGTTTATCTTATAAATAAACTGTTATGCATGCAGAATCAATATTTGACACTGAGTACATTATCCAGAGAAAATTTTACTCACTTTGAAGGTATTGGGTCTTAGTGTGCCTCTGAACTGAATCCAGTCAAAACTTGATTTTCCAAGTATATATAATTCAAATTGCTACATGAAAAATTAAGCAAAGAAGGAAAATCTCAAATTAAGAAAACTTGGAGCCATGTTTGGAGAGCAATATTTAAGTCATATGATACTTCATATTTCCAATATGAGATTAGAAACAGTGCTCTAATCTGGCAGCTGAGAATCAGAGCTCTGATCCCAGTCACAACTGGCATGGAATGAAT